AATCAGGGCCTTGAACTCACCTGATGTGCCATTTGAACTCACGAACCGTGAGATCATGACCTGAGCCAAAGTCAGATGCTGAACGACTGAGCCACCCAGGTGCCCTATTTGGACTTATTTTAAATAGCAAAGCACTGTATTTCCTAGACACTAGTGTTTTTAAGTTTCAAGTTAGAAATACTAAATTTAATAAATATTTATTGATACCTACTTATGTATGTGTATGTGCATGTTTTGACATGGTACTACTTTCTATTTTATTTTAAAACAGGAACTGAACTTTTAATGTCTACATACTTATTTTTCCATACCTCTTTTACTTTATTTTTAACATAACTATGTATACTGGATACTGGGCAGCTATTTTTTCCTGTTTTGTGTAAAAAGAATCCTACTCACAGAGACGAAATGACTTGCTTGTCTGTGGCAGATCTGATATTAGAAATCAGTTTCCTTGATTTTTTTTTCTCAAGTTTATTATTTTGAGAGAGAGAGAGAGCATAGCATGCACATGGGGGAGAGTCAGAGAGGGAGAGAGAGAGAATCCCAAGCAGGCTCCTCACTGTCAGGGTGGAGGCTGATGTGGGGCTCAGACTCACAATTCGTGAGATCATGACCTGAGCTGAAGTGGGATTCTGAGCCAGCTGAGCTACCCAGGTGGCTCAGTTTTCTCTATTTTTAATAGAATGTTCTTTTTTCTGGCCATAGCATCTCACGTCTTCATCCTTTTTGTTATTGTTGTCTTTTTGTAATTTGTAATTATTTCTTTTTAATTTGATAGATAATACCTACCAGCAGTGTATTTGTAGCTCATAGTACAAAGGGCTTAATTTCTAATACGTAAAGAACACCTACGAATCAAACCCAGTAGAAAAAATGGTCAAAGGATATGAGCACACAGTTTAGGGGAAAGAAAATTCAGTTAGCTCTTAAGCATATATTAGCTTTGTGAAAATCACTGTAGGTGGACTCCATCACCTTGAGTTGGCAATGCAGATCTGGGGAGAAACAAAAGCATATATTCTTTGAGTAAAATTCTTTGGAAGATTCATATATGTCAGGAACAGTGCAGTTAAAATCTGACATTTTTGTTTGCATATGTAATCCCTGGGGGTTAGTTGACAAGAGTTGACATCATGACTATCTCTCTTTGTATTCTTTTTTTTTTTTTTTAAACTTTTTAAGTGTTGATTTTTATCAGTTTTTGAGAAAGACACAGTGCGCATGGGGGAGGGGCAGAGAGAGAGGGAGACACAGACTCCGTAGCAGGCTCCAGGCTCTGAGCTGTCAGCATAGAGCCCTACACCGGGCCAAAATCCACAAACCTTGAGATCATGACCTGAGCAGAAGTTGGACGCTTAACCGACTGAGCCACCTAGGCACCCCTCTTTTTATTCTTTTCATCTTTTATTTTTTCTCATTTCTACCAGTGACCACGGGAGAAAATACAGATAATTTGACCAAAGCATAAATGTTTAATATGAAGCCCTGTTGCTGTATTCTTAATTTCTTTATTCGTTTGTTTCTTCAGCTTTAGTATTATAAAAATACTTCACATTTAAATACAGATAATTACAAAGATACACATCTTCAGTACATTTTTATAAGATTATTATTTTCAATAAAAGTTTATTTATAAAGCCAACTTACAAAGTTATGCTAACACATCAGAGCCATGATATAGTGCATCTTCCTTAGTTTTATTTTCATAAGATTAGCCCTATTTGAATGTTCTGTATAATCTCAGTAAAATGGATTAAATTGTTGCAATTTTAAGTACTTTCATTATGAGCTTTTTTCATAGGTTCTCTTTCTTTTAAATTGGCTCTTTTTCCCCTTAAATTTGGTAAGTTAATGATACTCAGTTTTGTATTTTCTTTATAAGTAAGAGTTAGAAATTGTCATAAACATAAGGAATTTTCTTCTCTGCTCATAGTTCTTTTGGGCTCTTGTGACCTTTGAGCAAGAATATTCCTGTTCTTTGTGAAACCATAATATCTATTCATCTTTTTTTAAAAAGAAGATTAGAAAAGAAAACCTATTGCCATTATTAAATTTTTGAGAACCAGAGCATCTGGGTGGCTCAGTCAGTTAAGCATCCAACTCTTGGTCTCAGCTCAGGTCATGATCTCACAGATCATGAGTCTGAGCCTCGAGTTGGGCTTTGCACTGACAGCATGGAGCCTGCTTGGGATTCTGCCTCTCCCTCTCTCTGCCTCTCTCTCTCTCGCTCTCTCAAAAGTTTATTTATTTTGAGAGAGAGAGAAAGGGGAGAGAGAATCTCAAGCAGACTGTGATATTAGTGTGAAGCCCAACATGGGGTTTAAATCCATGAACCGTGAGTGAGATCATGACCTAAGTTTGAATCAGGAATTGGTCACTTAACCAACTGAAGCCATCCAGGCACCCCATAAATAAACTTAAAAAAATTTTTTTTGATAATCTTATTGTGACATTAAAAATTGTTATGGTCTAGGCATTAGTATGATCTGGCATTATAGTATAAATACACCTATAAGTCATAAAGTAGTGGGACTAAAAGGATTATATAGAACATCTTGCCTGCTCTGGACTCTGTTCTTTGAGTCTGATTCCAACAAGTGACTTAAAAATACTAGCTATAGCTATGGGTGTGTGTAGTAAAATGCAGGCTCTTTGCTTGATGTGAATTTAGATGTACATTTCTCATCACTTTTATTTTTTACAACCTGAGTCAAGTCCTAGAACCTGAGAACCTGATTAAAAATTAATAATTGGGTATTTAAAAAATATTTTAGCTTTTGGTTTTTATTTCAAAATAAATACTGAATGAGGAAATTTAGAACATATTAATAAACAAAGGTAAGAAGAAGCCCCACATTCTACCCTGCTAAGATAACCATTGCAACATTTTGTTATAGCCAGCCATATTGACTTAAAATCTCCCTTGTCTTTTCACTGAGTATTTTATGAGCTTTTTTCTTTGTTAAATAATATTTTTAATAGCTCTATACATTTTGTCACTTATGGGTATACCATCACTTAGCTTGTCCGTTTTTGGACATTTAGATTATTTCCGATTTTTCACAATATGAATAAAAATCTGATCTCATTTGGTGGTTGATTATTTTCACTTATTCCAAAAGCAGGAAATATTAATTAGGTTCTTGTTTTCATAAGGATTATATTCTAGTATAAATGACAGTATATGTATTTATAAAACAGGAAGCATTAAGTTGGGTGATACAGGCTAGGTGCCAGCAAACTTTTTCTGTAAAGGCCAGTTAGTGAATATTTTAGATTTTGCAAGCCATATGCTCTCTGTTGCAGCTACTCAACCCCTGCCTTTATAGTGTGAAGGCAGCCAGAGACTGCAGTTGAGTGACCATGGCTCTGTTACATCACAGCTTTATTTATTTATTTATTTTTTTTTTAATTTTTTTTTTCAACGTTTATTTATTTTTGGGACAGAGAGAGACAGAGCATGAACGGGGGAGGGGCAGAGAGAGAGGGAGACACAGAATCGGAAACAGGCTCCAGGCTCTGAGCCATCAGCCCAGAGCCTGACGCGGGGCTCAAACTCCCGGACCGCGAGATCGTGACCTGGCTGAAGTCGGACGCTTAACCGACTGCGCCACCCAGGCGCCCCACATCACAGCTTTATAAAAACAGGTCAGATTTTGCTCTCATCCCTTAGTTTTTGAACCCAAGTATAAATTATAAGAGGTATGAGAAAAAAGAAAATCAAGACTTTCACTGGGCTTTGCAGGTGAAGTTGTATTTACATAGGACTAAATGGAGGGCTCTTCAAGCAAGGCCCAAACTTAGGAGGGAGTAAAGACTAAGGAGGATGTCTTTGCTATAAGCAAGGGTTGTGGAAAATAACGGTTGGTGGGAAATAAAATGGAGTGAAAGGGTAGGACCATATTAATGACCTTGCAAATGAAATTGCAGTGTTAAAGCTAGTTGGATTAAGCAGTTGATAGCCACATTAAGTTACTGAGAAAAGTGCTATGAAGTTGGTATTTAGAAAAGTTTGTATGGCAGTGATTTATAAGGTATGTTGGAAGAAGGAACAGTTTGGTGTAAAAGAAACTAACTTGGTGGTTTCTAATGAACTAATTTACCCTCCAAAAACGAAAATTTAAAAGAAAGTTCTAATTAAGTTGCAGCCTTAGGATTTTCTTATTTCTAGGTGGTACTGTTAATAAAATGTGGAACTTGGAGATCTGTTCACAGTGAAAACGCAAATCAAGTTGTTTCTTTACGACTAAGCCTGGTCTTCTGCAACCCTTGATTTCAGTTTTCTCTGTAAAGCCGTAGGGGCTCTTGGCGGAGTGTCTCAGGGTTTGTGTGGAGGAGTCCGGAGAGTGATGTTCCAGCAGCCCTCTGCCCTCATTTCAGCCAGTTTGAAATCTGGAATCTGTGGCTAAAACTACAAATTACAAAGTAGTGGCTTTCAGACTTTTATTCACAACCTTTATTCAGACAATTTTGTAGCGGTCCTGTGTGTAAACCAGAAAAGATGCTATAGCTCCTCAGGCTGGCTTTTTGAAAACCCATCCTGAGGGCATCTGGTGGCATCCCTGGAGCACATTTCTGAGCTTTCTCTAACCTGTCCGTCAGTAATTAATGTTGTGCTACTGTGCTGGCCACTGTGCTAAATACCAGGACAATAATGGTGGGCAAGACAGAATCCGGATGTAACACAACCTGATGTACTGGTAAATAAGTACCATGCAGAAAATGAGATAGTGCTGTGCTGTGTATGTGTAGGGCGAGTTGGATGTAGCTGACAAGTGATGTTAGAGGCTGGAATGATGAAGACGAGGCAGCCATGCTGAGATCTGAGGAAAAACCCGAAAGATCAAAGTGCAGAGATCCTGAGACCAAAGTGGTGAATGTGAGGGACAGAAAGGCTCGTGTGGTGGCAGCCAGCGGAAGAGGGAAAGAGTGGAAGATGAGGTTGAGCAGGAGATGGGGACAGATGACGTGAGGGAATGGATGTGATTGAGAAACATAAAAATCCCATACCCTCCTTTGACAGTTATTGAAATTAAAAATAAGGACGACTGAAACAAAATTAAAAGTAGCGGTAAAAATATTTGAGGGGGAAAAATATTATTAAAACTCTGCAAGTTTGCCTTCTGCGAACATTATAATGGAACGTAAGGCACAATGTGGGTTACTTTTATTTTTCATGATTAAACCTTCTTTGTTTATACTCTCCGTTCTGATCAGTTCATCTTGAGAACTTTTCCCTGATTTAAAAATAGTTGCCATGTAGTAGTTGTAAAAAGTCATAAGATTGGTTTGAAATACAAATGGCTTTATGTAATGGCTTTATGTAATACATTTTGAAACTCTTCTAGAAGGTTTACATGAATCTTAGTAAAATATATGATCATATCTTTAATTATCTTTGTATATTTAAATTATTTTCATAAAGGGTATGCTTTTTTAATAAGCATTTTTAATAAGTATTTCAATTACAAAATATAAATAAAATCTGATTTTTTTGGAAGCAGATTTTTGTTGACTTTGTACCTAACTTTTTTTAGTCAAAATTCTCATAGCTATCAATAAAGGATGAAAATAGATTGATTAGCAGAATAAATACAGGATATTGGTTCTCTTATTGTCTTATAATTCATTTTGATTTTGGGCGTGTGGGTGCCTCAGTCAGTGTGACTCTTGATTTTGGCTCAGATCATGGTCTCACAGTTCACGGGATTGAGCCCCACCTCAGGCTCTGCACCGAGCATGGGGCTTGCTTGGGATTCTCTCTCTCCCTCCCTCTGCCCCTCCCCTGCTCATGTGCACGCACATGTGTGCATTTACTCTCACAAAAATAAACATTAAGAAAAGTAGTTCATTTGATTTATTTAAGAATAGGGAGTTTATCCTTTTCATAACACAGTTGTCACCTTAGTGTACAATGTGTGCATTGTGTTTTTGAAGTTTAGCTGCCTAGACCCATTGGTTGGTGGGCCTTGGGTACTGCCTGAAATAATGGAGGGATTTTTTTTTTCTTGTTCTATATGAAGTGTAATTGCTCAGTCATCACACTGTTCTTTATTGGGGTGTTTTAATATTTTCTGTTGTAACCCTTTTAGCCAAGAAAACCATGTGGGAAAGGCTGACAGCCCCTGAAGATGTATTTAGTAAATTACAACGAGAAAACATAGCCATCATTGAGAGCTACGGTGCTGCCCTCATGGAAGTGGTCTGTCGAGATGCTTGTGATGGCCATGAGATTGGAAGGGTACAGTAACTCCTGTTTAGTATAACAATTGAATAAATATTTTGACTTATTAAGGTATAAACTGAATTAACTTTGCAAATGCATGTTATATATTGAGAATTATTGTCTGCAATATATTTTAGTGAATTGTTTTTAATGTTTATTTTTTGAGAGAGAGACAGAAAGAAAGAGAGAGGAGGGGCAGACAGAGAGGGAGTCACAGAATCCAAAGCAGGCTCAAGGCTCTGAGCTGTCAGCACAGAGCCGACACGGGGCTCGAACTCACAAACCACCAGATCATGACCTGAGCTGAGATCAGATGCTTTAACCAACTGAGCCACCCAGGCGCCCCTACTGAATTTTCTTATTTGTTATAATTTGGAATTTCTATTTTATTTATTCATATGTTTTCTTTATTTCTGTTCAGAATCTCAGTTCAGAATTTTCCCTCAGCATAATCTTTCTGCTGATTGTGAGGTTAGCCTTACACTGGTAGAAATGCTGCTTAATAAAGATCTTTGGTTAAGAGTATACTGGGTACACAGGTTTTATACTGAATATGTCTTTCTTTGCTTTGTGGAGGGGAATTTGCATTTATAATTCTTTAAAATACTGTACCACACTGGTGATAATACAATGAGAAGATAACTTCCTGCTAATGAAGAGTTTCATAGTATTTGAATCATATACAGCTGATCCTTAAACAACATGGGTTTAAACTGCGTGGGTCCACTTACTGTGCAGATTTGTTTTGACAGATACAGTACAGAACTGTAAATGTATTTTCTCTTTTTTGAACATTTTTTTTTCTCTAGCTTACTTAATTGGAAGAATACAGTATGTAATACATATAAGATAAAAAGTATGTGTTAATCAACTTTTTATGTATCCACCAGGCTTCTGGTCAGCAGTAGGCTCTTAGTAATTATAAGGTTGTGGGGAATCAAAAAGTTATACATGGATTTTCACCTGTGCTCCTAACCCCCGTGTTGTTCAGGGGTCAGACGTATTTGAAGATGGTGGGAAACAGGCCTTTAAGAAATAGGATGAATATAAACTGTGTAGTAAGTTCTTATGTTCAAAACAAAACAAAACAAAACAGTTTAAGTGTTGTTATGCATAGAAAAAGGACTGAAGAGGAGAGAGGCCAAAATGGAGTAGCAGTGTTTATCAGGCCACATATATTCTATATGCTTTTCTGTGTTTTCTAGGTTTCCTGTAATGTGCATGTAATACCTCACAATTAGGGGAAAAAGCTATTTTTAACAAGTCTCTTTTCTCCTTTTATTAATAAATCAAGATTCTGTATACATAGCTTTCAAGTTTCTCAAAAAAAAAAAAAAA